ACCTGGCTTTTCCATTGACTTCGCTTGTCAGAAGGTTGCAAAAGGGGATCCCATGGCCCCAGGATCATGCAACCGTCATAAATAGGACTCTGCTACCAAGCAGCTGGATTTTGATCACTTATGACCATGTCGTAAGTGTGAAAAACGGTTACTGTTTTCAGTGCGGTTGTAACTGTGAATGATCAGTAAGTGAACTGTTGTAAATCAAGGATTACCTGTATTTAATTACAGATGGGATATTCTCAGCGATGAGAATGCAGGTGGCTTTTAGCAGCCCTTTAAAAAGTGTGCTTGTGTTGTGTGTGTATATACACATATCTATATCTATCTATCTGTCTGTCTGTCTGTCTTTCTGTCTGTCTGTCTGTCTCTGTCTGTCTGTCTATCTATCTATCTATCTCTATATATCTATATGTATATCTATATCTCTCTATCTCTATCTATCTATCTATCTATCTATCTATCTATCTATCTCTATCTCTATCTCTATTTCCATTTCTTTATCTATATAATTCTCTATCTATCTCTATCTATATATCTACAGTATATCTATCTAATCTGTCTCTATCTGTCTATCTACATCTATATATCTATATCTAATCTATCTCTCTATCTCTCTATCTATCTATGAAGTTCTCTATAGAACTTAGATATATATAGATATATCCTAATTCTCTATAGATAGAGATATATATCTCACCTGGACACATACAAATAAGCACACTCTTTTAAGGGTTTCTAAAACCCATCTGCATTCTTGTGGCTTAGAACTTCAGATATATATATAAGGAGTGAAAAAACCTGCCCCAAAGAAGCAAACATCTATGGAGTCATTTTTTTCCATTAGAAAATCCCTATTTTAGGGATGGAGAGTTTTAGCTAGTTTGGAACAACACAGTGATTTTTAATTTGTTAATGCAAATGGGCTTACTCATTCTGCTGCCTCTGCTAATTACAGATATCCCCCTATCTGAGTATACACCACAGATCTATGAGAATATCTAACCAGGAGGTCTATCGCTGTGACAAAGGAAATATTTTGGTTCTCACCGAGTCAGACAACCTTGGAACAAACCCAGCAACTCTTGACCAATGTTATGTTTTCCACAATCAACCATTTTTCCTGGCTTTTGTGTGTGCTTTTTAACCCTGCCAAGCTGTTCTTAATCCTCTGATCAACCTGCCAGGATTGTAGCTCCCATCATCTATTAGTTAGGTTGGCCGGTGAAGATAGCTTGATTTAGTGTAGCACATCAGGAAAGCACCGGAGTATGGTAGGACACAAAGAAACAAAGCCTTGGATTTTGGAGAATTTCCTCTCATGTGAGTTAAAAGAAGCCTCCACCCATCCTTGAGTCAGCAGAAAAGAATGAGGGATAACATGTACGGTCTCCATGGCTGATTCGTCTCCTGCCTTGGTTTGAAGTTCACACAAAACTTGATTTTTGTAATTTTTCTCCAAGCAACAAAGCCGAATGGATTCAGCACACTTTGAAGCTGCCCTTGGGAGATACCGAAAATAGGAGGAAAGTACTATTTTAAGATCAATACAGTTAAGGATTGTTTAAGCCTTACTCATGAGCCAAGGAGTAGAGAACAATAATAAGGTGGCTATAAGGAAAAAAAAAAGGAGGACGGGGGTAGCCTGGGTATATTTATGTTGTGTGTAATTGCAATAAGAAAAAAGTCCTGAGCTTTGAATATTTGGATTTCTTGGTCATCCAAAGGGGTCAAACTTTGAATTGCCATTCAAAGTAGGGGGAGTTCTTCAAAAAGGACCTTCCTGGTGAAATACATTTTCCTGGTTTTGTATTTTAATAATTTTATTTGTATAGGTAGTCCTCAGCATATGATCATTTGTTTAGTGACTGTCCAAAGTTAACGACAGTTCTGAAAAAAAGCCATTTAGCAATAGCATTTAGACTTACATACCAGTAAGTAGTTTGCAGAGTCAGCACCTTGCCTCCAAACAATCTGGCTCCTCATTTTACCGACCTCAGAAGGCTGACATGGAAGGACCTATGGACTTCACCTCCCAGAATTCCTGAGCCAGCCATGTTGAAGTTCACAGACCATAGCAACAGCACTAGTACTCAGGCTTATATACCACTTCATAGGGTTTTATAGCCCTCTCTAAGCTGTTTACAGACTCAGCGTATTTGCCCTCAACAATCTGGGTCCTCATTTCACCCAGCTCAGAAGGATGGAAGGCTGAGTCGACCATGAGCTGGTGAAAATTGAATTTCTGGCAGTTGGCAGAATTAGCCTGCAGTACTGCATTCTAACTGCTGCGCCACCACAGTTCTTAATAATAATATCTTTTTCACACTGCCCCTTATCCTTGAAAATGTCTGCCGTTAGGATTACGTAGCCCGCCCAACCACAATATCTTTTAGCCAATAGCAACTTGTTCAGCAAAACCATGGTGACAGTGACTGCAGCTTAGCATAGGGATGAGCAACTATGGCCCCTTTATAAATCCGTGGACTTCAACTCCCAGAATTCCTAGCCAGCCACGTTGAAGTTCACAGGTCATAGCAATAGCACTTAGACTTATATACTTCTTCATAGTGCTTTAGAGTCCTCTTTAAGTGGTTTACAGAGTCAGCCTATGGCCACCAACAATCTGGGTCCTCTTTTTACCCAGATCGGAAGGATGGAAGGCCGAGTCAACCTTGAGCCAGTGAGAATCGAATTGCTGGTAGTCAGCAAAATTAGCCTGCAATACCGCATTCTAACCACTGCGCCACCGCAACTTTTATGACCCATTTATTTTATTTTATTTTTATAAAATTTTTTATTTATTTTAACAACAAACATTAACAAATACAAACATCAAACATCAAATAAAACCATCTTTCCATTGTACAGTGTGTCAGTTGGTACACATCTCCTATGCACAATATCAATAGTCTTTCCCTTCTAAATACATTATTAAAATTCATATTATATAGATCAAGTATACATATTATATTATATCATCGTTAAAACTTTTATGACCCATTTATGACCAATCCTTGCACTTACAGCCATTGCAGGTCCCTATAGTCATGTGATTGTCATTTGGGTGTTTGGCACCTGACATGTATTTCTGGTAGTTGAAGCATTTCAGGATCACATTATCACCATTTGAAATCTTGACTTGGCTTCTGACAAGGAATTTCAAAGGGGGAAGCTAGAATTGTTTGACAGCCATATGAATGATGATTTGCTTAACAATCATGGCAAAAGGGGTCATAAAACTGGATATGGACAAATGATGATTCCCTTAATGGCCGCATTGCTTAGCAACAGACAGTCCAGTCACAACTGTGTTCGTCAGTCGAGGATTACCTGTAGCGTCGTGAAACATGTTTTAGATGACCATCTGTTCAACATAGGACATTAAAATATAAGGAAACCACTGCTCTTTCTCTTTATTACCTCTTTCCCCCAACTAGCTGTGTTTTTAGTTGCCCCTTGATGGAATGAGAAAGTGAACATTCTCACAATATTGGAAATAATTTATATCATCTGGTAATACAACCGGTGATCAACACAAAGTTATTAAAAACTACAGAAGACAGATATGCGCTAAACATTGACCGCCCTACTAGCAATTGTATAGAAGAAATAATCTCTCAGACGGGTTAACTTGGGAAGAGTGTCAGAATTTTTCAGAAGGCCAAGAACCAAATTTAACCAATCTAACTCAGCCTTCTATGTGATATGAAGTGATTCTCTTGTAAGAAACCTTTTGGACATTTTAAGAACATGGAAAACATGCCTTGCTAAATATTTCCTGTTTTTCAGGAGATTGTGGTTTAATTTCCATGAGGGAGTGAAAGAATCTGCAATAGAAAAAAAAATGCTAATATTTATGAAACAACAATTCTGAAATCACAACATAGAGACAGACTCAATCATAGTTTCAAGGGAGAAACTGAGAATCCCAAAGGAAATATGCTAGGAAATTCCTGGAAGTTTGGCATTCAGTCAAATCAGCCATCAATAGATACTTAGAGGTAAACCACATGTACTCACCATTTAAAAGAGATAATAAAAAAAAATCAAGGGGAAACAAAAAAACCAGAATAGATCCTCTCCAGCAGGCAACACCCAGTGTCATGCCCCTGTTGGAATCTGATTCGGAGAGGGAGGCTGAACAGCTGACAGGGAGTGGGAGTGTGGCTCCCGTTGGCTGTGGAAGAAACTAGGGAAGGGCAAAGTCTGGCTGGGCAAAACGGGATAGGTAGAGGAAGAGAGGGAATTCGGAGGAAGACCCAGGCACATCCCTTCTTCATCCTAGGGCACGCAGGGAGGAATGGAGAAGGGAGCAACGTGAGTTGTGTGAGTTGCGTGGCTTATGGGGGAGGAAAGGGCCCTGATTCCCTTCATTAGTTGCAACTGGGAACACAGTGTTTAAAAATGGAAGGTGCGTGCAGCAAGCTGTTGGGAGCAAATCGTGAATTTATCTGGTATCATTGAGGTTTATCTGTGTTCCTGGCGTCTTCCCAACTGTGTGAGTTTTGCCATGCTTTCTAGTCAGAAAGTCCTTGTCAAGTTAATGACTGCAGCTTGGTTTATCTGGATTTTTAGTTACAGTCTGTATGTACTTTGTTTTGGACTAAATTTTCTCCAGTTAAAGGCTGTTCCTGGGATAGTTTTTCTCCAGTTGAAGATAACTTGGACATTGGGGACAAAGTTGGAGATAATAAAGGGACTCTTCTTGCTTATTTCACTGTGTTGCCTTTGTGCCATGCCCCAGGTCATAACACCCAGATAACCATCAGGCAAACAAACAAAAAAAATAAGGAGCTTGAAGGTCCTCTTTCTGCCCTTTTAACTTACAATTTTTATTAACTTATTAAGCTTAGCCTTATTGAGTACAATTTTAATTATTCTCCTCCTGGTTTTAATGGCCTCCTAACGTAATATTTATATACAGCTTTTATATTTTACTTGTACGTCACCTGGAGTCGCGCTATGAGGGAGATGGACAGTTTCTAAATTTGATATATAATAAACAAATGAATAAATAAATGAGCAAGGAGAAAACCAGACCCTCACTAGCATTAGCAAAGCAAACCACTGTATATAAACAGGAAGCAAATCCCACACTCCCTAGCACAGATAATAGACTGTTTGTTAGAGAGCTTGGAGATGAGGACAAAATCATGGTCTCATTTGATGTCATAGCCCTGTTCACATCCATAAACCCAGAATTAGCCAAAGAATCCATGACCGCATTGCTCAACAGCACACCTGACTTAATCGAATACACGAAGATTGAAACATCCAGGATTATGGATCTCATAAAACTCTGCTTAACGTCATACTTCCAATTTGATGGACAAATTTACCAACAAATTGAAGGGACACCTATGGGATCATCACGTTCAAGACTTATAACAGAGGACGTCATTCGATGTCTAGAAGACATAGCACTTCCACAAATAACATCTGAAAATAGGGATCTTTACCATAATAAAAAATGAACAATTAGAGAACATCCACAGAACCATCAATAACATTCTTAAAGGAATCCAGTTTACTAGAGAAGAAGAAAACAACACCTTGCTACTCTTCCTGGACATCCTGGTCAGCAAAGACTACAATAGTGAACTAAAAATGCAAGTCTACAGCAAAACTACACACACTAACCAGGTGCTCCACTACCAAAGCAACAACTCAACTTCCCACAAGAGAAGCTGTGTAAGGACTTTATCTAGATGAGCCCAAACTCACCGCAACAATAGCAGAGAAAAGGAGACAGAACATCTGTACGACATATTCTAACAAAATGGATATCCACAGCAACTTTATCAAAAAGTCCAACCCAATACAACACAACAAGCACAAACCCTAAAAAGAATTACACTGCCATACATCAAGAATATCTCAGAAGCCACCAACAAACTACTACAACCACATAGAATCAGCATAGCACACAAGGCAACTAAAGCCCTTCGAAACATCCTAAGGCTGAAGTCCCCAAACTTGGCAACTTTAAGATTTGTGGACTTCAACTCCCAGAATTCTCCAGCCAGCTAGGAGAATTCTGGGAGTTGAAATCCACAAGTCTTAAAGTTGCCATGTGTGGAGACCTCTGTCCTAAGGAGACCAAAAGACCCAACAATCTGAGAAGAAAAAACCCAGCAAGGCCGGCTGAGGGATTCTGGGGATTGGAGTCCATACATCTTAATGTGGCCCAGGTTGAGAACCAAGTCTGTCCTAGTCTAACTCTCCTATCCAGGGCAAAAATCATCAGACCATCCCAGATAAATAACTGTCCAACCTTGGAAACCTCCTGTCTCTCCCCCCCACCCGTTTAAAAAATGTTAAACACATTTTAGAACAAACACCACAGTGTTTATATGCTTCATGGCACCAAAGGACAGAGGCTTTGTCAGAGACTGAGAGGGAGGCTCATAACGAGGATACAGCTGGTTTATATTTGGATTCCACTGTAAAAACAAGATGGAGGAAACTCGTACTGAGGTTATTTGTGTATTTATTTATTTCCTGCCTTCACTTTAGATGCTCAAATAGCCAACATCATGGAATGGTTGATGAATATAAAATTAAGAGAATGGAACATTGCGTTCAATACCTCGAATTCCTAGAGAAAAACAAATACAGTGTAAAACTAAGTCTTTACTTAGGGCCAAGTAGTACCTTCAACTCTCTCTTGGTTTTGTGAAGTGCTGTTCTGACCAAGGCTTATGGAGATACTAACAAACACACATTAGTCCTAAAACCATTTTTTTTTATTTCAAGGGCTGTGAATTTTAGTCATTCACAGCCCCTAATGAGTCTGAAACAATTTGTAAATAGTCCCATGGAAGTCTGCCAAATCCTTCAGGATAACTGATAAACATGCACCTTTATTTTCCTTGAAATGCTGCCAATGATCAAATGTCCAATTAATTATACAGGCCAAAATGGAACACAAATTCAACACCAAGCTTCAGGTTTCAAACCAACCAGCATGAACAAAGTTGCTTCCTGCAAAGGTTCCTGTCTCTTTGCTCCTCCTTTATGTCTTATGGAAGGGCCAATCACCTCCAAGCCTTACTCCCGAGTCGCCCCTTTTGTCTTTACTGCTCTTGCCTTCTGGCAGGCTCCCCTTGTCCCTCTGCTTTGCTGCTGTCAGATTCTGGAAGCTCTGCACAAAACTCTCAGATGACCTCTGTGTCGGACACAGATCCCTTGTCCGAGCCCTCCCCAGACTCCTGGACTGGCCCATGTTCCTCCCCATTGTCTGACTCTGCTGCTGTCTCCTCAGGCTGCCGACGGACCACAACAAGTGCCTCCTATTTCATCCTACTTGTCACAGTCCCTTTGGAGCCTGAGTCTGAGGAGGAGGATGCGACAGAGCTAGGGCTGACGGAGGAACAATCGGAGGAGGAGGGCGAGGCAGTCCCAGGTCCCTTGGGTCTGAGAACAGTTGCCAGTGAGGGGTGAGGGGTGCAGGAGGACCAGGCAAGCGGGGAGGACAGGGCAGGCAGCAGAGCAGAGGAGCAATGAAGCTCGGGCAACAAGCTGTTACCTCCCCCCAATCCCTGAGCATGAAGAATGGAGAGGAGGCAGAATCAGTGCAAGCAACCTGATAACTTGGGAGGAGAGTGCCCTGCCTCTCTTCACAAGGCTCACCTGGGGAATGAGATTGAAAAGAGATGCTGTTGTGAGGGGTGTTTGACAAGAACAAGTGTTTGCTTTTTCCAGTTTCACATGCTGGATACTTTATCTGGACATCTGGATACTTTGCTGTGCTTGTCTTGTTTGCCTTATTTGCCATGCTGGCCTGCCCTGGTTACATGCAAAGTCACAATGACACAGTTATACTGCAGGTGATGCTGTGGTCTAGTGGTAGAATTCAAAATATTTTACTACCGGTTCTGTGGGCGCGAAGTGTTCTAAAACGTGCAGTTTTAATTATGAAAACTTACCTTACTGCCAGCGCTGGTGAGTAAAACAGCTGAGGCACGGTAATCCGTTCTGTCGTGCCTACCAGCTGAGCTACAAACAAAGGAAATATAGGGCAGGAAAGGGCGGGGCAGGTGGACGGAGCCAACTGCTGACTGGCGCTACCAGATCTCTAGAACCGGTACGAACCGGCAGCATACCACAGTACTGCAGTCCCAGGGAACTTTTCCTGTGATAAGGACACTCTGCAACCAAATTCCTTGAAGTTTGGTTGCTTTAAGACCTGTGCTGCTCCGGTAGACTAATAGCAGCCAGGAATTATTGGAGGTGCATGTTTAGAGTTTTGCTCCTGGACTTGCAGTGAATGATGGGATTTTTTTGTGGGGGGGGCGGGGGAGGTGGAATAATAAAGGGCAGTTTGCCTTTGTTCTGGCTGTGTTGTTTTCTGTGCCCAGCCCCGGGGTGTCACACTAATTTAGAAAGTGGCCAAGCTCAGCACGGCTGCTCCTTTGGGCAAATTCATAGGGAGTTTCCAGTCATTGTTACAAAATGAGCGTTTTGATGAATGTTGCAGCTACACTTCACCACGTTTGGCCGAAAAGGCCTTTGGCTTACATTCAACAGGAAAGAGCAGTGCCAGTGAAAAAACATTCTTTTCAAGTCTCTGCCCGGGAATTACAGGTTGTCCTCAACTTACAGCCACAATTGAGCCCAAAATTTCTGTTGCTAAGCGAGGTATTTGTTAAATGACTTCGGCCCCATTTCACCAGCTTTCTTACCACACTTCTTGTGAATCACTGCAGTTGTTAGGAACACGGTTGTGAAGTGAATCCCCATTGACTTTGCAGATCAGAAGGCCGCAACAGTTGATCGCTTGTCCCTGGGACACTGCAACTGTCATAAATACATGCCAGTTGCCAAAAGGGTCTGAATTTTGATCATGTGACTGTTGGAAGTTAAAACCTGCCCCCCTCCCAGAAAAATGAAATATTTTAGGATATATTAAAAAGGAAGAATATTTCCACTAAAAGAGAAATAGAACCTCAGAGGGGCAGAAACTCATCTCCCCCCACACATCTTTGTTAATGGGCCATTCAGGCCTGAGCCAGTCTATTCTACATAACAAAGATCTACCTCCTTCAGGTGGAGCCATTGAATTGCCTTTCATTGTACCACCCACCAAGATTCAACCAAACTTAGCACACAGACAACCTACAAAGCTAGCTTTGTATGTCCTCTGACAGCAACCAATCAGGATATACTTCCTGTGTTCCAGGAAGTTGAAAGCCCAGAGAGGCTATAAAACCCAGGGACTCTCAGCATCCCTTCCCTTTTCACCAAGGAGCTCCCAGGCATGTGATCCTGTCCACCATTAAACCATCTTTCCAAATAATCTCTGTGTTTCCAGTGTCTTTCTCCCCACTTGGAACTGAACCCAGATGGACATTTTTTCCAACATGATCACGGGGATGCTGTAACGGTCATAAGTGTGAAAAACGGTCCTAAGTCACTTTTTTCAGTGCTGTTGTAATTTCGAATGGTCACTAAATGAACTGTTGAGAACTACCTGTAACTACCAGTGTAACAGCTACAGTTAATCTTGCGAGTCTGAATATGCTTCCTTTCCCCTCACTTTTTATTTACGGGAACTAGGGTTGTTTTTCTCAAATTGCTTTCTTGACTGGGCTCAAGCCTCTCTTCTCTGACCAAAGTTTTGGTGGCATCTTTTCTTCTTCCTGTCCTTCAAGGCTTTTCCCTATGTCTCTATAGGTTATCTTCCAGATGCCTTGGACTTCCGATTTCCACAATTCCACTCAACAGCAGAACTGAATATGTGATAGGACGTGCCCAAAACGTGCGGCTGGCTCAGGAATTCTGGGAGTTGAAGTCCACAAGTCATAAAGTTGCCTTAATTGTCCATTATTGCAACAGAATAACAGAGGTGGGAAGGGACATTGGAGGCCTTCTAGTCCAACCTTCTGCTCAGGCAGAAAACCTTATACCATTTCAGACAAATGGCTGTCCAATCTCTTCTTAAAAACCTCCAGGGTCAGAGCACCTATAACTTCTCGAGGCAAGCTGTTCCACTGGTTACTTGTTTTAACTGCCATGAAATTTCTCCTTAGTTCTAGCTTGCTTCTCTCCTTGATTAGTTTCTATCCCTTGCTTCTTGTCCTGCCTTCAATTGCTTTGGATAATATGTCTGCTTTGAAGAAGTTTCTTCCATATTTTAGGAATGCTGTGTGTTGTGTTTTTAGTATAGCTGAAGTTTTCATGCAGGTCTGCAGTTTAGGTGGGGAAACCTCTTGAATGTGATTGGCTGGCTCGTCTGACAGCCCCTATAAAAGGGGAATTGTCAGACAGGTTCAGCCGTTCTGTTGTCACTGTTAACTGAATAAACAAGTTGGACTGTTCCCTTCAGCTGCGTGTCTTCCTTCAACCACAACACAACACTGTGAACATGCCAAGGTTGGCGTAGAAAAGAGAGCAAAGGAATAAAACCCAAATATGTGGAACACTCATGTTTATTTTTACAGAATACAGGTATACATAGAAGTTATTAAGTTCAATGGAACTTGCTTCTAGATAAGAGGGAATAAACCTATAGCCAATAGATCTTCTTTAGAACTATCTTGCACTTAGGTTTTCCAGATAAATTCTTCCCTTTCAACTTAATAAAATAGTCAGAATGATTGTTTAGATTTTGTTATGGAAGTTCTATCATTGTTTGAAAGCACATTTTGAAAGTAATATCAAACAAACTTAAAAGCAATTTTTAAAAGTAAATATATGCACATCAATCTCTCTGTTCCCTTTCAGGGTAAGCCATATTACATAAAGTGCAGAAAAGTAAAAAGTAGTAAGCAAAAGAAAGGTCAAAACGAAAATGAAATGAATTTAATTTACACAAACACCATTCCTTAGACCTTTTACATTCTTCCAACTATCCTTGCTCCTACCTCATCTGTACAGTTTACCCTATATTGCCCTCTGTTTTTCAAGCCCCCTTTTTTGGAATATCCCCTCAATATTACATCAAATAAAATCATCACCATCATAGATCAACATATCCGTTACTTTATAATTTGATCTATTCTCTCAGATGAGGAAAATGAACAAGAGGCTTTTGTGACAGCTGAACAAGTGTTTGGAAAACAAAGAAAAACTCCCCCAAACATTTAGTGATCTTGGATCCAAGGACCACCTACAACTTCCCGAAATTCTTTGATGAGATTGCATGCTTGTGAAAAAGATCAGAAAGCATTTTCCCAGTCCCACTTCTGAGCACTCTGTCAAAATTAGAAAACTATCTCAACACGGTTTGTGCAATCCTTAGACTGATTCATTAAGTTGTCTTTTTAAGAAACTAAAAGCAGGAAGAAAACTGCTACTAGTTCAGAGATTTATTCAGTTTGTCATTTATTTAGTACAAGCTAGTATGAGAAGAAATCTGTTCAGCTTGCGTTCTGAAGCAAATGGAATGAACCTGAACTTCCAAAACTGAAAATGGAGCTATTATGTATGCCGGTGATTAAAATTCAGTGGTTGTTTTCACAACTCCAAAGAGCAAAAAACAACACACACCCCACCCAAGGATGTATACACGTGGGGAATGTATATGAAAAGATGTATTACATTATATATAAAAAAAACATCTTGTTACTTATGTGTATTTTTTTAAAAAAATTATACTGTACTGGAGAAAGTGTGGGTGCGTATCCATATATTCAGAGCAAAGATATACAAATGTTGACCCTAAAACAAATTGGCAAACTGATATGGAAATAGGAATAATTTTCAACATTGGAAAAACAAAGAACTGGGTGAAGGCAAAGCAGACGGGTTACAAATACAGTAGTCCTTGACTTACGACCACACTCGAGCCCAAAATTTCTGTTGCTAAGCGAGACAGTTGTTGAGTTTTGCCCGTTTTATGACCTCTCTTACCACCGTTAAGAGAATCACTGTAGTTAAGTTATTATCAAGGTTGTTCAAGTGAATCTGATTTCCCTGTTGTCTCTGCTTGTCAGAAGGTCACCAAAGAGGATGAATTGACTCCGGGACATTGTAACCATTATAAATGTGAGTTCAGTTGTCTAAATTTGAATCATGTGACCATGGGGATGCTGCAACAGTCACAAGGGTGAAAAACGAGTCATGAGTCCCTTTTTTCAGGTCTATTTTAACTTTGGGCGGTCACTAAATGAACCATTGTAAACAGTGGTGGGATGCTGCCGGTTCGCACCGGTTCTCATGAATCGGTAGCGCTGTTGAGCAATTGGCCCTGCCCACCTGCCCCTGCCCTTTCATGTCCTTTATTTCCTTGGGTTTGAGCTCAGCTGATTCGCACGGCTGAGCCGATTGCCACACCTCAGCTGTTTGAAGCTCAGAATTGGTGGTTTTTGATTGCTGCGCGGAGCATGCTTTCTCATAGAATTGGTAATAAAAAAAGGTTGAATCCCACCACTGGTTGTAAGTTGAGGACTACCAGTATTATATATATCACATATCACATATCACCTCTCTCTCTCTCTCTCACACACACACACACACACACATACACACACAGCAAAAGTGCTTGAAAGGACCTGCTGAATTCAGGCAACCTAATGTGGGTGATATTGTAGGCGTATGCAAGAAAACTGTCTGCAGATTTTGGGGACAAAGGCAGAAATGTCAGCATATATAGGGTTAAATCCATCTCTCCTTCCTGAAGGAGTGTGTGTGTAGGAGCAGAACAACACAACCCCTCCTCTGCAGAATGTTATGTATGTGGCCTTTAAAACATAATTGGCTCAGGGTCAGCCCAAAATAGCAGCCCTTGGCATATTTTCACCAGCCATCCAGTGGGTTGCTTGCCTCAGAAGACCTCCCTTTCTCTCGTTGTTGCCAGTTACTGAGTCACCAAATATTTGCCCAGGGAGGCCACAGATCATATTTCTTTAAGGGAATGGGATGGAAGGTGGGGGTAAGGAATTGCATTAAGGGGACTCCTCTTTCCATTGCCTTATCTCCCTCATAGACACGACACTGTCATCAGGAGAAACGTTGGCAGAAAGAGAAAGCCCCCACCATGCCGAGGAAAAAGGCACAACTGGTGATCATAGTTTGGGGGGAAAAATTATTTGAAATGAGACCCTTGGAGAGAAAACACAACACTGAGCTTGTGAGCTGAGAAAGCAGAACAAAAATATATACAAAGCAGGTTAGGCAGAAGCTTTTAGTACAAGAGGAGGAAATGTAAAATCTCAAAGGGGTGAAGAAGCTTAAAAGGTGGGGGACTAAGGGAGATGGGTATCAGTATTTCTTAACCGTGATCTAGATGGGACTATTGGACTTGTAGCTGGTCTGACTCTAATTTTCCAGCCCTGTTTTAAAAAGAAGCTTGCAGAGGATGAAAATAAGTGGAAAAGGAATGGAAAAGGTAGAAGATAATGAAAAAAAAGAGGAGAGGAGGAGGAAGATTAAGGCAGCTTCAATTCCTAAAGCTTCATTCATATGCTCTAAAATGGAGGATATGCCTCCATTAAGCCACAGATGCGTTTCTGAATAAAAAGGAAAGGCGAGAGTGTCTATTTAATACAGTGCTTGAGAGGATAAAAGTACAATCGTCTATGTCACCGGAGTTCCATGGACGTTACTTTCAGGTAAAAAAAGGAGAAGGGTCGCAGACTTAATCTTTGGCATCTTCTAGAGTTGGTGTTTTCTCTCCTTCCTGGAAAGAGGATTAGAGGAAGCGGAGGAGCCAGGTGCCTCCGATGGCCAGAAGCACAGGCAGAGAGATGTGAGCGGAGGGCAAGGTGGCCCCTGAATTGCAGAAGTCGGTATCGCAACAATCGTAGGTGGTGGTGTATTTGATGCCTAAGTAGCTCTCAGTATTGTTCTTGTCACATTTTTCCCTCTGGACGCAGTTCTTCTTCTTGATGAGCTTCTGACTAACTAGGTGGAACATCAAAAGGAAAAAAAAAGACATAGGATGAGAGGTATGTCTGGCTAACATTCCCTGCCACCTATAAAACAACCCCGTTATTGCATTGTTGTGAACAAGTAAGGCAGAAAGCAGAGCTCAATTTGATATATCAAAGTTAGAGACCACCCATCTCACTCACTGTTCCAAAGTCACAACTAGGAAGGCAGGAAGGGTCAAGTGGGGAACTAGCCTTGAGTCCCTGCGTAGTCTCCAAAAGCATAAGGCTAATTCCCTGCTAGACCCCTCCTCCCTGCCTGGCTGTTTCCCAATACTCACAGAATGATTCTGGATGGTATACTATTTTTGTTTTGTTTTGTTATGTTATATTTTATTTATTTTCTTATTTTATTTTCTTATTTATTGTTTTTTGTTTTATTTTATTTATTTTGTTTTTGTTTTGTTTTATTATTTTTATTTTATTTATTTGTAAAATGTATAGGTTGCCCTTCTTATTCTGGAGGTAACCCTGAGCCAGAGATGGTATTCAGCAGGTTCTGACCAGTTCTGGAGAACCAGTAGCGGAAAATTTTGAGTAGTTCAGAGAACCATCAAATACCACTTCTGACGAGTTTTTACAGTCTCCTTCCCCTGCTATGCCCACCAAGCCACACCCACAGAACTGGTAGTGAAAAAAATTGAATCCCACCGCTGTCCTGAGCTGCTTATGATATCATAAAAATTAGAAATGGTATGCCGCTAATCTCACCATCAAGTGACTTTGGGTGGCATGCAATGTCAAAAATAGCAGCATAAGTGAATTAGAAGGTTTAAAAACATGAAAAACATTAGATGTTAAAAGTTAAAACATTAAAATTAGCAATATTAGAAGGACAATGCAGAGGCAAAGGACCAAAGCATAAATAGGATGGAAATGGAGACAGAGACAGCATGGAGATATTTATACCTGCCGGGGGGTGGGGTGGGGGGGTTTGGACTAGATGACTTACAAGGTCCCTTCCAACTCTGTTAATATGCCTTTAATACAGAGGCAGTTAAGAAGACCTCATCCCCTCATCTGTCTCCCTGATTGTATGAGGTTTGGTTTTTTTTGGCATAGTTTTAAAACTATAATTGTTTTTTTCTGTGTTAAGCCACCCAGAGTTTCTTTATCGAGGAGATGGGAAGCATATACAATGAATTTAATTTAATAAATAAATAAAAGAAGACTAGAATAATTAAAATTTAAAAGGTAGGAGAAGGCTGTAGCCAACCCTGAGCTGAATGCTTCTCTGCAAATCGTATGCAGATTGATGGGTTCGGATCTTCAGACTCTTCCGAAAAGGCCAGTAGAATGGGCCCACACCCAAATTTTAGCAATGGTTCCTCTGCCCAGTTGCTGGGTGGGTGTGGCATGGTGGATGTGGCCTAGTCAGCCTCTTGCACCACGGCGGGGGGGAGGGGGGAGTTTTGCCCCAGAGGCTTTCCTCAAGCCTCTGGGAGGCTGAAAACGGCCTCCCTGGGCTCCGGAGGCTCTTTGGAAGCCGGGAACGAATCTGTTTCCAGCCTTCCCAATGTCAACTTTGGAAGCCATATTGAAACCAGATGCTCCCACGCTGCCACATTTTGAGCCTGGGGAAAGTGGGAGGGTGGAAGTTCTTGGGGGGTATATGTAGTTAGACAAAATAACATTCTTTTTGTAGTCCAAGGTCATGCTATTGTGTGCATACGGGAGGGGAAATCTTAAGTTGGGATGGACGATGATTGGGGCTTGTGATGTGATGATGGATGTAGGGGGTTGGATTTGCAGTTTTTGATTATTGCAAGGAAGCCCGGAATTTTCAGATTTGGGATTCCCCCCAGTTGTGCCAGCTACTATCCAAATAACCGAGAACTTTGGAATGATGTGTGTCTCGGAGTTATTGGTTGGAGTGGAGACTTGCTGGAACGCTGACACCCAGAGTTCCGGGAGACCTGTTTTAAACAGACCAAAGATGGTTGAACAGATGAACAAAGAGGAATATTTAAAAATGCATTGCCTGATGTTCATTAGGAAACCCAGGTTGTTTATTCCACAACTAGGTTCTATGGGTGCCTATTCAGAAGTATTATAAAATTAGGCCAGATAAAATTCCTGGGGGAAACAGCCCAGGTGAAAACAGGGAGGAAATAGAAAAAAAAAATATCCTTACCAGCACTTCCCTGGATGATAGCACAAACTTCTCCGGGGTTACAGGTGACAGTTGAGGTATGGCAGGGTATATTGAAAACTGTGAATTTACACTGCAGGCATTGAAGAGCAGATCCTGAGATGCAAAGAAAAAGGTTTTTTAAATTTGTTTATTTAAAGGAGGGAGATGAAATCAATTCAGGCTAGAATTCACAATGCTGGGCCTACCTTTTATGCCACCCCAATTAAAAAAAAAAAAATAGGGATAGAATTGTGCTCCTGCCTAACTCTATGCAAGTAGATTAATAGGTAATCACTATGGTACCACTATGAGCCTTTAGCGTACAGTCATACTGGCCACACAACCCATGGAAATTGTCTTTGGACAACCATGGTTCCCTCAGCCAAGAAATGAAAGTGTGAGATTCTACTGGCTCAGGCAAACCAGATGTTAAATTTGCATCTGATTCACCAAACCGGTATTTAAACAATCAGCTGGCCCCACCTACGCTTCCCCTCCCCTCCCAGGATCTCCACATGGCCCATTTTCTATGTAGGTAAGTGTAGGGTTCGCATGGTGGCTCTGGGAGGGGGGGAAAATGGGGCTTCCTGGAAGTCCAATACTTGAAATCCAGAAACGGGCCTGTTTCCAGCTTCCGGAGGGCCTCTAGAGCCCTGGGGTGGCTGTTTTCGTCTTCCCAGAGGCCCAAGGAAAGCCTCTGGACTCTGGGGAAGGTGAAAAATGGCCCTCCCAGAAGTTCCAGAAGTCTGGAAATGGGTCTGTTTCTGACTTCCAGAGGGCCTTCAGAGCCCAGGGGAGGCTGTTTTCACCCTCCCAGAAGCCTGAGGGAAGCCTCTGGGCTCTTGGAAAGGCGAAAAACGGGCCTCCCAGAAATTCTGGTAGGCCACGCCCACCATGGCCACGCCCACCCAGCAACAGGGCAGTGAACCAGTTGCTGGGATTTTTGAATCCCACCCTGCTGAAATGGTTGTAGGGCAGGGGTGCCCAACTCAAGGCTGACGGGCTAGATCCGGCCCGCCGGGTGCTTAGATGTGGCCTGCGGGGCCTCCCTGAAAATAGCGAAGAACCACCCCACGGTGCCTTTGCTAGTGAAAACGGAGCTTGGGAAAGCCGTGTGCAGCCCTCCCGAACTCCGTTTTCACTGGCAGAGGCTTGCAGGAGGCTGTCACAGCTGAAAGTGGAGCTCGGGAACCCATTTTCACCTGCAGAACGCTCAGGCCACCATAGATGCCTCCCGACATGAATGATGTCAAGCTGATCATTCCGCCCCTGCCCCCCCCCCCGCCCCGATCAAACACAACCCTCAATGAAATTGAGTTTGACAGCCCTGGTATAGGGTTTCCTGCCTGAGCAGGAAGTTGGATTAGAAGACCTCCAATGTCCCAGCTCTTCTGTTTTTCTGTTAAGCTGGCCGGGAAGGTTACAAATAAGTGAGCACAAGACTGCAGGACACGGCAACCATAGAAAAAATACTTGCTGTTTGGCCAGGGAACCAAATTTTGATCATGTGACCAAAGGAGATGCTGAGACAGTTATAATTGCAAGGATGGTTTTTTGCCACTTGTTTTTTCCCCCCAGTGTTGTTGTAACTTTACACAATCGCTAAACATAGGCTATAAATCAAGGGCTGCTTGTATGATATTCAAGTTAGATTCCCGCCCCCCAGCATCTCTTTATTATTTAGCTGAGGGCAATCCAAGCATTACAGCTGTGATTCTTAAACTGTTTTCCCAGGTTCAGGTAATGCCATCATCCCCACCAAAAAAAAGCTTAAGACTTAGTTGTTTTACACCACTATCTTGGCAGCCTTAATAACAAACTGGATCCTTGACACACAAACGCTCAATTACATTACATCATTACCCTCAGGATATGTCAAAATTACCCCCTTGTTAATAACCTGGTAAGTTGGTAATTACCCTCAGTTTAAGCTACAGTCATCCAGGTCATGGTTGTCCCAAAGGTGCTTTTTTCAGGAGGCAACTAGACTTTCTTGTTCTACTTTTGAAGACGTTTCGCTTCTCATCCAAGAAGCTTCTTCAGCTCTGACAGGATAGTGGGGAATGGATGGATTTATATCCCTTTGCAAACAGCTGGTCATTTGCATCCTTTTAGAGCCGTGATGGAGAACCTATGGCATGCGTGCCAGAAGTGGCACACAGAGCCATCTCCACCGGCACCTGAGCTGTCGCCCCAGAGCAAGTGTATTATTCAGGCACGCACGCCGTCTGCTAGCTGATTGTTGGGTAGCTGCCGTGCACGTGCAGGGTGCGGGGTGCATGCAGGAGACAAGTGTGCATGCGCAGAGAAATGCGGTGCATGGGATCATGCACACATGCACAGGGCCCCCCCATGTGCATTGCCTTATAGGTGCTTGCACACATGCATGTGCATGTGTGAGCGCACACTTTTGGCACGTGAGGACGGTAAGGTTAGCCATCACTGCTTTAGAGCAGGGGTGTTCAAACTTGAGAGCTTTAAGACTTGCGGACTTCAACACCCAGAATTCCTCCTCCAGCCATGTTAGCTCAGGAATTCTGGGAGTTAAAGTCCACGAGTCTTAAACTTGCCAAGGTTGAAGACTCTTGGTTTAAAGGGTCATTGAAGCCATGGGTGGGATTCAAATTTTTTAACAACTGGTTCTGTGGGCGTGGCTTAGTTGATGAGCGTGGCTTAGTGGTCATGTGACTGGCTGGGCATGGCCAACTCAACACTCACATCAAGGCACGCATCTCCTCGCCTGGCCTCTCATGACTGTGGAGCTGCTGCAACAGTTGTAAGTGTGAAAAATGGTCATAAGTCATTTTTTTCAGTGCCATTGTAACTTTGAATGGTCACTCCACACAAGCAAAGTACCAGCAAAGGAGGGGAAAAAAACTCCAGAGAAGTTCCTGAGACAGGAAGTCTAGTCCTGCCAAGAATGTAATAAGGGTTAACAGAGTGGCAGTTTCTGTAAGCAACACCAGAATGTTTCCTTCCTGCCTTCCTTACAGGATTAGGCCAGTAATTTCTTCTAACAACTGGTTCTCCGAACTGCTTAGAATGTTAACAACCGGTTCTAGCGAATAGGTGAGAACTGGTAGAATTCCACCCCTGATTGAAGCACTTGGAGGTCTGTGTCCTCAGAGTCACCTGCGTAGTGTTCCTGGTTCCTTTCGTCCGCAATTTTTTGGAAATCCATTCCTACTCCCACATCATTCAAAGGGTGTTCATCCCAAATTGTATAGCTAGAATTCCTGAGGACATAGATAAACCTCCAAGTGCTTCAACAACACTCTAAAACAGGGTCCCCAAACTTGGCAAACTTTAAGACTTTTGGATTTCAACTCCCGGAATTCCTCAGCTATGCTGGCTGGAGAATTCTGGGAGTTGAAGTCCATAAGTCTTAAAGTTGCCAAATTTGGAGACCTCTGCTCTTGTTGTTTGTTGTTAGTCGCAAAGTCGTGTCCTACCCACCATGACCCCATGGACAACCTTCCTCCAAGCCTATCCTCTACCATCTTCTGGAGTCCATTTAAGCTCATCTCTGCTCTAAAAGGATGCAAATGGCCAGCTGTCTGCAAGGAATATAAATCCTTCCATTCCCCACCATCTTGTCAGAGCTGAAGAAGTTTCTTGGATGAGAAGCGAAACATCTTCAAAAGAAAAACAAGAAAGTCCAGTTGTCTCCTGAAAAAACATCTTTGAGACTATCATGGGTGGACAACCTTTTTTTTTTTGATAATAGCAATAGCACTTATATACCACTTCACAATGCTTTACTGCCCTCTCTAAGCGGTTTACAGAGTCAGCATATTGCCCCTAAACACTCCGTGTCCTCATTTTATTTGAAAGGATGGAAGGCTGAATCAACCCTGAGCCAGTCAGAATTGAACTCCTAGCAGTGAGCAGTGAGTTAGCCTGTAGCACTGCATTCTAAGTAATGTGCCACTAATGCGGCATAAAGGTCATAATAGATCTTCTGACACTTGAATGCTTTATTGTGTTTCCCTCAACTCACGATTTCAGAGTTGGCCAAGCAGAGAGGCCAAAGAACCTGGGATCACCCTATTAGGCTAAAAAGCAATTGAATTGTTAGTGAGTCGCGTATTTTGTGAGTATACCCATTGTGGCTAATCAGATGCTACCAAAGAATCCAAGTACCAGGCTGGTTGGATGTGCTCTTTGCAAATAATCAAATCAAACCAAATCCTTTTACTGGAAGATTTTTCTATTGTTGAGTTCAGCTGAAAACCCTAAGAAGAGAGAACAGAGTAGGGTTTGTGGCCCACCTAGTTAGCAGCTCCAGAAGAGCAGGAAATTCAGAAATATAGCTGAGTAGATGAGAGATACCGAGCTTCAGTTCAAAATAATAGTCATTTTAAATGTGCAAATATGCACATTAAATTCAATTTTGTGGCAAGAGGTGAGTGGCCACCTTACTACAAACACAATGAGGCTACAGAATTTCTGGGCTCCTAGAAACTTCTGTCAAAGCGTGCAGAGAAAAGCAGAATAATAACAGAATAACCAAGTTGGAAGGGATTTTGGAGGTCTTCTAGTCCAACCCGCTTGCTTACCCTCAATCAGGAAACCCTCTACCTGTGATGATGAACCTACGGCACGTGGTGTCACAGGCAGCATGCAGAGCCATTTGTGCCGGCACCTGAACTGCCGGCAAACTTATCTCACTGCGCATGCGCGCACCTCACAGCTGATTTTCGGCTGGTTTGAGGCCTTTTCCAGCCTCCCAGAGGCTTCAAAAAAGCTGCTGCAGGGCGAATGGGACCTTTTCATCACTTCCAGTAATACCGGAAGTGACGAAACGGGCCTATTATTCAGCCTTCATAGCCTGAAGAGGCTTTTTTTCAAGCCTCTGGGAGGCTGAAGAAAGGCCCCAAACCAGCTGAAAATCAGCTGTGAGGAGCAGTGCCTGTAAGGGGGCAGGGGACAGGCAGCATGGGGAGCATGGTGGTGTATGGGGAATTTCGTGGGCATGTGCAGAGGGCGTGCGTACATTGCCTTCTGGGTGCTGGCATGTGAGTGCATGCATGCCAGCGCACACATAATTTTTGGCATAGGAGCCCAAAAAGGTTAGCCACCACTGCCCTATACCATTTCAGTCAAATGCAACA